AAAAAAAAGAAAGCAAAGACAATTATTGGATGGTTTCAGTCACTTGTGGAATGTAAAAGAATCAAGAAAAACAAGCTGCTAAAATACAACAAAAATAAATCTAAATTCAGCGGAAAAATAGTGGTTATGAGAGGAGGAAGGGAGGACATGATGGTGTACTGGCACTGGAACTGTGGTGGAGAGCGAGTGAGCACGGGCATGTGTTTACGTATGAAGTTGTGTTCCCAAAAGGATGGCAAATTATTAAAATTTGATTTAAAAAAGACAGACCAAAGAGTTATCTGCTCACTTCCACCCCCCCCCCTTTTTTTTTTTAAAGATTTATTATACAAGAACTGGGGTACAGGCTAGAGGCGCGGGAGGGTGAGAGGATTCACCAGAGACAGAGTGGGGAACAGAACAGGCAGACATACTGAAACACACTGCTGAGGGGAGCAGCAGGTGAGACAGAAGAGGTCCGTAGCGCCATGTGGGTATCTCCCTGGCTGGCCAGGAATCGAACCCTCGCTGCAGAGGCTGCGGACAGCTTCACAGCACTGTGCTCAACCTGCTATGCCACTGGGGGGCCCTTACTTCCCCTTTTTGCCTGTGTGGACACAATGAAAAGATATCTATGAGCCAGGAAACAGGTTCTCGCCAAGTATTGAATTCACTGGCCACTTGATCTTGGAGTTCCCAGTGTTCATAACATGAGGAAACAATTTGTAGTTTATGAGTCACCAGTATATGGAATTTCTCTTATAGCAGCCCAAACAAACTAAGAAGCAGGCACATAAATGTATTTCATGTTTTAGAAAGAATTCTATCAAAGAATTAACATGAAGGAGTTGGAGTCATATACTTGAAAAATTCAATCACAGATAATGCTGCCTTAATTAATGAAACAGATGAAAAAGTGGAGTATCACTGCTATCTCACAGAACTTTCTGTGGTGATGACATACATATTTTTTTCTTGATTATGCCATCCAACAGAGATTCTTTCTGAGCACATAAAAAGTGGCTAGTGTGACAGAGGAACTGATGTCCCAATCCAATTTAATTTTAACATATTTAATCTTATATAGCCACATGTGACTGGGGACTTTCTCATTGGCTAGATAATTTCTGTGACTCACAGACACATTTGGTTATTTGGTTTAGAGTAAAAGATATCTAGGCCTTGGTGTCATTTGTACCTGCATTTATACTTTCTAATTTCTAGCTCTGTGTTTTTGGAGCTGTCATTCACTTTCCCTGGGCCCTGGGCTTCTCATGCCGAAAATGGAAGTCATACTATTTATGCTTAGGGTAATTGTGATGACAGAAAATGAGGCCTGTAAATGCTAGCACAAACTAAGCATTCAATGAATGATATTTATTACTAGTACTTAATGTTGTAGGTCAATTTTCATAAAGATAATTCCGTTTTTTTTCCTTTGATCATCAACATGAGCATGCAATAAACTGTGAAATTCGAAATAAGAGCTAACCCCAGGGCTGAAGTCTGTAGTGGAGCAGACTTTCCTGTAGTTACTCACTATGCTTTTCTTGCTGCAGATTCCCTTATCTTGGCCTTGCTGTGAGCTGTCCTTCTGCAGTGTGATTGCTTCTAGCAAATCCTCCCTGCTCCTCTGACAGAGCATTCCTTATCACTTGTTCTATAACCTCAGAAAAACTGAATGCTGTTGGGGGAAAAAACAAATTGAGCTTGTTAAATCAATACCTTTAATTGTATGTACATTTGAAGACAGTAGAGTATGATCAGAAGCTTTCACAAATGTTTTTCTGTGGAATCAAAAGCACAGATTGTGGGCCATTGTTTAACTTAACAGGTTGATTGTCACAGTCTCTTGGGGGAACTTTAAAAAAATACAGAGGCTATTCTTCCTGCAACCTGGAGACCTGGCAATGTTAAGAGCCCTCCAGGTGATTCTGTTTCAAGGTTTGAAAACCATTGTGGTCTGCCAAGTTTCTGGGGTGAGTTCTGGGCAGATAGAGTTGTCTGAGCCTAGGTTAACTGGGAGATTGCCCTTGGGTAAGGCAATCACACAGACACCATTTAAGATCCATCACACAGATGGTGAGGACTCTGGAAATTTGACTGCAATTTTCCCTGGGAAATCACAACATATCATTTGAATACGTGTCATTCACACAGAGCTGGGTAGAATCACAGAATTAGTTTTTCTTTTTTTTTTTTTTATAAAGATTTATTTTTATTTATTTATGTTTACAAGAGCTGGGGTATAGGCCAGAGGTCCGGGGGCGAGGGGGGACGCGGGTGGTGAGTGGATTCACCAGAGACAGAGTTGGGAGCAGAACAGCCGGATTGACTGAAATGCACTCCTGAGAGGAGCAGAGGGCATGAGAGGAGAGGTCTGCTGCGCCATGTGGATTAGCTCCCTGGCCTCAGATAGAACTCATGCCCCAGTGGTTGGTAATAGCTTGATAGCACTAGGACTTTAACCCTCAGCCACCAGGAAGTCCTCCAATTTTTTCTTTACTCTTCTTCCTAAGTTATCGGTGTCCTTTTTCTCAGGAGATGTTTCACCTCTTTGTAGTGTTCTTTTGTAGTACTTAAATCTATTAAAGATATATTATTATTTAGCTCATGGACTTTTGCATATGCAATTTCACTACTTGTTGACAAGACTAGGTACAAAGCCAGAATTAAGACTAGTGAAAACTCTGAACTACTATCATATTTTTCCAACAGAAACTGCTTCTGCATTCAGGCTCAGGACTCAGTCAGGCCCTCCCCTGAGCACCTGCACTCCTACTGTTCACAGTGCGAGCAGTGGGTTAAGCAACATACTGATCAGTGTATGGAGGCTTGTTAGATTACTAGTCAAATATTGTTACATACTTTTAGAGACAAAAATCTCTGTGGGGAAAAAAAAAATCTCTGTGAAGCAAAAGAATTCCAAGCATAGGTCAATGGCCCACTTCTCCTGAACAATACTCAACACAATAAAATTCCAGCACAACAGACCAATTTCAACAGTCCCAGAAAGGCTATATCAGGCTCTGAAAGTTTCAGTCCCGCTAGAAAAAATGTTCTGTATCAGCAAGTGTTGGGGATTATGAAGGTATACTTTTTGGGGTAACCGATAAGACAAACAAAATGTTCTGGCATGTTCTGGGTTAGACATTTTATTGTTTTCTCTCTGGTTCTCCAACCACATCTTTTAATTCATTTTTGGTTTTGGTGATGAGAATGTGAAACATATTAAATCAATACTGAGCTGTAGCAATGCCCCAAATGAGAACCTTAGTCCTATTAAAAGTTAAGACTGCCTACTAAGTGAGTTCCTCCTTAGCGTGTACTCTATTATCAAGAGTAACTTAGGTGACAGAGAAGTTGAAACTCCATGCCTAAGTTTCTGATTTCCAGAGCATGTATCTGAGGGGAATCATTTTTGGCTTTATAAGTCAGTATTTTGGAAAGGAACTTACCTCAAACTAGCATAAGCTAGAAAGACAACTTTACTGGTGCATTTCCTGAGAAGTCTGGGATTTTTATTGGTTGAAGAGATGGCTGCCTGGAGGGCCTCATTAAAGTTATAAGGTCTTTTTCTGCCTCTGCTTTCCTTTGGTTTGAAGTTATTCTCTATTAGGCTACCTCCAGTTGCTGCAGGCTTACATGACATGGTCTCAGAAGCTGCCAAATCTGTCTTGGAAAAGGACCCCTATTTTCTTTGATTAGATCATCTGCTCCCAAGCCCTCCCACCCCGACTTAGTGCCCAGGGGGTGAGATGCGTACTAATGGGCTTGTGTTCCAAGCCACTGCAATGACAGGGAGGTTTGTGTCCTAGTCATACCCAGTGGGAGGGAGCAGTTCACAAAAGGAAGAGGTTGGGAGGAAAAAAGTTAAATTTTTTTTAAAGAGTCTATTTTGGTGTGAGAGAAGTTGCTTCTATTTGCATGGGGATGATGAAAAATAACTGTTCTACTGTTACAAGACTTACGGAGTTAATGAAGACCACAACATAATCTGTGATCACATGGAATGTACTTGTATGCCAAAGGAAAGTTCCATTTAAAATCCAGTATCATGTCACTTTCTTAAAGTGGTTCTCTTGTGAATTGCCAAAAATTTATTATAAAAGTCTGAGTGTTATTTATTTGACGATTTATGAACTGGAATAAAACAGCAGTCTCACGATTCAAAAATAGATGTCTCTCTGAAAAAAATGAGACAAATACAATTGAATCTTAAAAGTATTAAAGATATAAAAGAGGCCGTTGCTAAATATTTTTGAGAAGTAATTACGTTGTTTGTATCTCATTCAAATTCAATCAGTTTCACAAATATGAATCTCATCTTTTATTTCCTAATAGCAAAGACTAAACTAGAATGTGTTTAATCTTCCAAAACCAACAAAACCCTCAAAAACCTAACCGAGCAATCAAGGTAAATTATGGAAAAAGCATGAACAACACACACATTATGAGACAAATAACCATGAACCCCAAAACGTTTACTTCATTTTGAAACATCAACTGGCCCATATTCTAGGGACAGGAAATCATGCTTGAGATCTTCCTCTATTTCTTCTTACTGCTTTTCCCATTTTTTTTTGTGAGCCTTAAGATGTCTTCAGAAATTAAGTGTACAAATAATAAGAAGCCCCATCTGAGCATGTGAAAATCATACTGGCTGTCAGCCGACAGAAACTGTGGTCAGGTACCCAGAACTGGAATGGATTGACTTCCAGGTAGGGTTATGGCATCCATGAAGCTTGCTCTTGGTGTCTTGTGCTGTGTGATCCTGGGTTTCTTGGTTGTTAAGACCTAGAGGATTATTCACCCCATGGGGTCAGGGTCCGGGTGCGGAGGGTTTTGAAGGTGGGGAGGGGTGGGAGTCGGAAGTGGATATGAGACCCTAGGAGGGACAGGTCCAGGAGTCCTGTGAAGGGAAGGGGGTGGGAACGGAAAAGGGGTGGCACGGGGAGGCGGGTGGGGACGGGGAGGGGGCGGGGCACTCTAGGGGCGTGCACACTCTACGGGGACACGCGCTCTCGGCCGCAGCAACTCGCTTCAAGTTCCCTCCCTCGATCTCCGGGGAAGCCTGGTTGAGCCCTCCCACTCGGTGAAGCCGAACCATCGCGGCCGCCGCCAGCCGGGGCCCTCCACGGCCGCGCGTCCTGGGCCAGCTCGGCCGACCCTGTTCGCTCTCTGCTCCTGGCTCTGCCGAGGCGGGTGAGGCTCTGCTGCCCCTGCCATCCGCGATCCGCTCCGCCGCGGCGCCGGCCGCGGGGACCCAGTCCCCAGCGGGCCCTGACTCCTCCTCTCCGCGGTACCTACGCGCCAGAGCCCGACTCGGGCCGCACATCTCGGGGTCGGGCTGCCCGGCGGAGGTAAGTCTGGGCCGGGGGCGGAGGCGAGGGGGCGCGATCCGGGTCGGGTGGCCGCGCCGCTCACCGACTACGGACAATGCCAAAGCGAGCGCGGGCGGAGTGAACCCGGGTCCCTGCCTGCAGCCTCCCTACCGGGCCTGGGTCTCACTCTACCCCGGCCTGGGGGCCGCACTGGCCAGAGTGACCGGGGCCGGCTTTCTGGGCCTCGAGGGCAGGCGCAGCGCCGCTGCCTTCCTTGTGCCGGCTGCGCGCTCGCCTGCGCGTCCCGGGCCGGGCGCGGAAGCTGGGCACTGCCGCCGGGGCCGGGCCGGGGACACTGGCCGCGCTGCGGTCAGCGAGTGGCTTGCAGGCGGGAACCCTGGTGTTCGAAAGCCCATCTGCTGGTTGCTGCTAAGGAATAGGGTCGGGGAGGGACGGGGACTCCACTCAGCTACGTTTCCTTGAATGGGCTCTAATCTAGGGTGCAAAATATCTTGGGAGTATCAGTTATCTCCTAATCCCTGGCTAAGAGTTCTTGCAACAAATGCAGATTCTGAGACTCTGAAAGTTTGTGTTTGGTTTATCCCTTCCCGCTCCACCCAAGGGCTCAATTGTCTCGACTTTCTTTGAAAGCATACAGAATGGAAATAAAATTAAATTATCCGTGGCTCACCGGTGCCCCCATCACTCAGCGGAGCTCATAACTTGCAACAAAGCACATGTAGCCTGTGGGAAGCCGCTGGTGCCTGCTGCCCAGCCCAGTGCCCTTTGATTGTTAGAATTGGAGCTGCACAGTGTAAATGGCTGTGACAGTTCTCCCTCTATGCGGGTTTTGGGGGGTTGGGGGTTGGGGTGAAGCGGAGATTACTTTGCTATAGGCATACATTGCTCTGGAAAGTGGAAAGAAAACACCTGGTGCCTGACTTTTTAACCCTTTCAAAGGTTGTTCAGAATTGCTGAGCCACACACGCACAAATAAGCAGGCATCCTTGTCTAGGATACAGGCAAACTCGGTTTTTCCTCACTGCTGAGTCCTGTACAAAAATGTGGCACACATCTGTGACAACATTGGTATTGCCGGCACCATAAGGACTACTAACTGGTTTGTTTTTAGTGCAGGCCAATGTGATAGTAGCATTTTCACAATATGAATAGTATGACTTCCATTTACCCTGTTGGCACTGAGGATGTTTATTTAGTATTTTCCTCTCAATATACATTTAAGTATGGGAAATGCCTGCATTGCCTTGTACTTATTTTGTGACATCATGACCCCTGGTCATTCAGATGAGCTATTTATTAAACATAGTTGTTTAAACAGAAGAACGAGCTAATGGTTTGCCAGAATTCTTTGTGGCAACTAACAGTCCATTGATGCACTTTATGGTATTTAATCTATGGTGTTACTATAGCACATACAACAGTAAAATCACTTACTGAGCTGGGAGGTAGTGATGCTTTATCAACCTGATAATCTGTAAAATTCTAATAGTTGTGGCTGGAACACAGTGCTAGGTAAGTGCCAACTAGTTTAATTTTTATTATTAATCCATGTGTTTTCTTTTTTTTTTTCTGTTTGGAAAAATAAATAATCTTTTAAATCATGGCTATTTTAAGTCTGGTTTAATTTTAAACAGAATTGAGGTTGGATTATTGTTTTGCTTACAACTGACTAACAAGCTGTTCTGCATATTTGTCCCAGGCAATGTAAAGGGTGATTTAGTAAATCTGAGGAAGGTGAGGTTGGGAAACTTGGTTAGGGCAAGGCTGTAGTCCTGAACATGTCCAGGTACGTTTCATAATAAGGAGATCTAAGTATACTTAAGGACCTAATTGTGTAAGGAGAAGCCTAGATGTTAGTGGAAACCTGGACTCTGAACCTCATCCCCAAATTCCCTTGTTCTCTAGGTTAGAATAATACCTGCAATTCCTAGTTGGAGAAAGAAAAAAAAAATAAAAGCGTCTCACAACAGTTAGGTTACTCCCACTGTGTTAAAAGATGATAAAAGGTAAACATATGGACTGTGTATGTATCCACCAGAATGTATAATTCTTACTTGTGCTTTCAAATCTTTAGAGTAAGGTTTATAGCCTAACCTGATAAGATAAATTAAAATGATTTACTTAACTTACTGCGTATCAATAAGTTAAGCCAAAAAATTATGTTTGGCTATCTAGTTATTTTAAAAGGTTGTCAGCAAGTTTGCTTTCATTTTGAGATGCTCCCTCACCCCCATTTAACTTTAAAGCGACATCTTTTCCATTCCTAAACGGTTTATTTAGGTAAGCAAAGGCATTGCCTTAACTCTTGGCGCCCTGCAGAACCTGTGCGGCTGTAGCACGGGCTGACAGTAGATGGCGCTGTGGACAATGCTGCAGGAGGAGGCGCTTGTGTGGTCGAGTTGATCATATTGATTTAGCAATCCCATTGCTTGCCTTTGCCCAAAATACACTTTCACCACACAGACATTGTCTAACAGTCTTTTTGGGAATAAACGCCTAAAAAAGTTTGCCCTTTGAGATATCTGCTTTTTAAATATATTTAGTTCACCAGATTTTTTTCTCTGAAAGCCATCGTATTTCAGGTGTTAGAAAAACATTGCTTGTAAAAAGATAGTTTGTACCCATTTACTCTCATTTTCCCTTAATAAGTAAGATTGGTCTATCTGAAGTTAGGGGGTCTCCAATAAACCTGGGCATTTTTTTCAACGTTTAACTTAACTTAAAGGAAAAAGGAACCAATAAGGAACCTGCTCACATCTTGACTTATACAGCTGTCTAAAGTGGGTTTTCATTTGCTCTTTCACCATTTTTCTGACTCCTCATATGATGTAATGAGAATCCACATTCAGGGTGAAGACTGAAGATCTGTAAAGCCATGACTCATTCAAGAAAAACATATTCATTCTATTCAGGAAAGGCACCAAGGGTAGAAAGTGATAAATGCACTCAGAAGAAAGGTTTTCTGGGATGTAATGGAAGTCATCCTTGTAGGTGGGCTCTGGGACACTCCCAGTCACAGGCAGTAGGGGGCGTTCTCTTTGCCCTTCACAGGAGAATTGCCCTTACCAGCTTTGTGCAGATGAGGTGAGGTGTCCTCCCTGAGTCACCTAGGTAATAGGTAGCAAAGCTGTGACTGAAACCTAGGGGTATGTTCCCCTGGAACGCTGCATCTTTCCATGTGGAATAACCTCTCACTTTCTTTTGGTGTTTGAGACCAACAGATCTCTTCTTCCTAATTCAGTGGCATGCTTTGAATTTCTTGGGCAGCATTTCGTCATTACAGAATCCAAAATGCAGAGGAAATTTAAGTTCCTAATTAAGTTCTTAGTAAGTTTTTAATTTTCAGAGGAAAATTCTGAAAATTCACAATACTTCGTTAAAGAAAGCTTATTTTAGGAGGGTCAAGGAGATGGAAGGCAGTTTTAGCTTCTTTGAACTACCTAAAACCCAATGCAAGTGGTCTAGATTATGAAGGAATAAAGAATATTGGTTGTTTTTGGCTTCATTATTACTCAGGTTATCTGGGGAAGTCCCAGCTCCCCTAACTTCCAGTGACTTTCTTTCTCTTGGTTTAAAAGAAATAAAAGTCTATAAATTTTGATCACTTAACTAAATCATTATGGTGATTAATGAAACATTGGGCCAAATCCCCATTCTGTTTATACATTCTGTTTTTTTCATTTTTACACTTTAGCCAGCCAGAGCCTAATGTAGTTTTTTTAATGGGTGATTTTTTTTCTATATTGAAAGCATTACAGATATATCAAAAAGTAATATTTGAATAATTTTTTCAAAGAACCCAAATTATTGCCCTTAATGTTTATTAAAGAAGTTAAACATAACATTGATTCTGAACTTTGAAAGGATAGCTTATGGGATGATTTGCATGGAAGATTTTGCAACCTACTAGTGGAGAATTTAGTTTTTTATTGTTCATAGATGTCATCATGCAAACAAATTAACTACATATAATTAAGATTTGAGCAAGGTGTCTCCACTGTTGCAGAATACATTTTCATCCTGTTTTTAAACCTGACTTTGTTCCTGCGTGATATTTTGCAATACAAAAAATAATGAACTTAAATCAAGCATGTGCTCATTGTGATAATGTAGGTTTCCTCCTACAGTGAAAAGGGACTCTGCGATTTTTACATTTTTAACATGGTGCAGTTTGAGTTTCATAAGCAGAATCAAACAAAAGCCCTCTAATTGAATATAGAAGCTTTTTTTAAAAAAACAAACTTTAGTGGTAAAGCAAATTACTTCCTTTTTCCTATACGTTTGGTGACAAAATTAGTGAACATGTGAATGATTAAACGATTATAAACTGACACTAAACCTGGGATTTTAAATTTGTACAAACTTTAGGGAGAAGTTCAAAGGAGAATACTCAGCAAAAGCAAGCAATATCTCATTTAGCAGATAGGTCTAGGAAAATGATAAGAATTCTGTAGGGTGTTTTATAAATTAGAACAAGATTGGTGGTTTTTGAAATTGTCCAGTTACAGATAAAGCTTTGAAAAAAGTTATTCAGAAGTAGATGGGATGTTTTTGGGTGGCTATGTTGTGACAGAAAGCTTTTTTTTACTCACAACCCCATTAGAAATTTGCTTCATTTTTTTTTTTTTAATTTTGTTTTTCAGGAGGAACCACAGATATGCTTCAAAATGATCATTCTTGCTAGTAATTTTTTTGTCTCATTGACTGCAAATGAATGAAATTATGTAAAGGAATATAGTTTTGTGATTTTTCTATTATGATAACGCTATTAAATATATATTTATAGAAGACCTGTTGTGTTCCAGGTCCAGGATAAGCAGTAGCCAGAGAGACAAAGTTCCTGCCTCTTTGAAGATTTACAATGTAAATAAGGGGAAATAATTAAAATATAGAAGTAAATGAAAACTTAAAGACATAATAAGCACAGACAAGAATGAGGATGGCATTCCTATCTGATCTTGGGGTACTGGGAGCCCCTCATCGAGGATGCTTGAGTTCAGACTCAAATGAAAAAAAGA